TGAAAAATCTGTAATATATTAAATTCTATAGTTACCTTACATAGTTTTGATTACTTAGTCCGTTTACCACCCTAATACACTACGTGTACCCTTAGTAATTTTCTTTTAATTAATTGTATAATTTTTAAATCTATAACAGTATATGTGTATAAAAAAAAATGTTCTTACAAGTAATTATATATTCTTATAAGACATTAATTCTAATAATGAATTATTCACGCATCAAAACTATAATATTGAAAAATCTTGCTCATAAATTCTGAACCATATTCAGTTATATCCAATTTTCTACCATGTACTCTATCAGGTCTGATTGCTTCTCTCTGATTTTCACTAGAATAATACCATCTTCTACCATAATTTACGTTAATCTTCCATCCATCAACTGCGTAAAGCTTTTTAAGTAATGATTCGCTCATTTCGATTGTATGAATTGAATGATTACTCTTTTTTATATCCGCCAATAGAATGTTTGTGTTCAAATAATTAAAACATGGGACTGAGGTGAGGTCAATGTATTGTAGATTTGGTAAGGCCATTATAAGATCTTTAATAAGATTTATGTTGTTAATTTGTGCTTTTGAAATACCAAGATTTTGTAAAGATGAACAATTCTCTTTGATGGTTGTTAAAATTAATGGCGTTATCTGCGAAGATCCAATATCTAACGTTCGAAAAGTTTTTGCATTTGGTGAACGAAGTATAGTAATTAAATCATATTCTTTAATAGCTGTAGTGATATCTCTACCACTATAAAGGTTAAGTGTTTCCAGTCGAGAACATTTTGAAACAAGAGATGAAATAGCCTCAGAAGAAATATTTTTGCATTTAGCTAATAATAAATGCGATAAATTTGTTGGAATATTTGTTTCAGCTAAAAAGTTTAATGTTAAATCGCTTATAGAACAACCGCCCAAATCAAGATGCGTAAGATTTGGAGCATGAGCAAGAAGAGATATAATAATTGAGTATTCAGAAATTATTGGACACTCATGCAATGAAAGTCTTTGTAAATGAGATAATAATGGTTTGGATGTCATACGAAAAGAAATCGATGTCTCATCATAATCATTGCAATGTGATTCTATTTTAACACGACCAATTAGTCTGGAAAATTCATCTAAAGCGTTACTAAATTGTTTACTAGCACATCCACAAAAATCAATAGTTTTTATGTTTTTACATTCTAAAAATAAAACTTTCAAAACATCAAGGGTAATTATAGATTCCAAAGACTCTGATATAGAAAAGGCTTTTAATTCGGGAAAAGATCTTAAAATATGAATTAAAAGTTCTGGAGTAACGACCTTTTGGGTTTCAAAAGAACTTTTTTGTAAGCCGCGAGTTGAGAAACTGGAAAGATCTAAGTGGCGAATCATTTGGGAACACCGCTTTTTAATGTCATTCGTGGCATTAACGAAAAGCGTAAACGTATGAGGAAAGGTAAACGCGACGGTATGATACAAGATCGGAGTAGCATGAAGGTTAAAAGTATGATTAACTAAAGCACAGGCAGCGAGAGTCTTTTTATCATCCTTTAATAAATTCAGAATAATGCGAATAATTTCAGGAGGAATATAAGGGACCGATGCATTTTTTTTCACCGGGACAACTTGTGAACCGGTAAGAGGATAAACGAATAATTGAGGTAAAATAAGACCAGACATCTTGTTGATTAATAGAAATAATAGAAATTCTGAATTGAGAAATAATTGCAAATAAATTTGATTTATTGAAAGATTATAATTATCAGATTACTCTTGCAGAAATATCGCATATTAAGCTTTATGCCGAAATGCTTATACTTTATTTATAATGTTGCGGGGTTAAACACTAA